TCTGCAGATGGATATCCAGTTATGTTCTTTGGCTGTAAATCTTTACAGGAGCAGATCACCAGGTGTTTTCTCTTGAGGAGCCACTGGTGGGTTCGAACTGACGACCTTTCGGTTAGCAGCCAAGCGCTTTAACTATTGCACCAATAGCAGTCCCTATTACCTAGAGACTGTTGTGAGAAGCTCTGCCCAGATCCTGACATAGTTGGCATTGGCTTAAAAAAAGACAGGTGATATATTCATACAACAGAATACTACTCAGCAATAAGAAAGGACAAACGACTGATACAGGCAACAAAATGGATGTATCTCTGAAACATTATGTTGTGTCTGGCTCAAGAGTACATACTGTATGACTGCATTTATATAAAGTTCTGTTGTTGTCAGCTGCCATCATGCCAGCCCCAACTCATGATGACCCTACACATAATGGAATAAAATGCCCGGTCCTGCACCATCCCCACGATCAGTTGCAGATCGGACAATGTTTCATCATGATCCAAAGGGTCTACAGTGGCTGATTTTTGGGCTTCCTAGTCCATCTTAGTCGGGAAGCTCCACTGAAGCCTGTTCAGCATTATAGCAGCACACATCAAAGGATGGGTAGTGACTGAGCATGAGGTGCACTGGCTAGGAATCAAACCCAGGTCTCCAGCATGGGAGGCAAAAATACTACTATTGAACCACCAATGCCTCATATGAAGTTCCATTGAGTGCAAAACTAATCTATAACAACAGAAATCAGATTAGTGTTTGCCTCTGGGGTAGAGGGGTGATTAACAGGAAAGGGGCACGAAGAAACGTTCTAGGGGGATGGAAATAGTCTCCATCTTGATGGGAAGTAGTTACATGGATGGTGGTTACATTTGTCAAAACTCACTCTACTCTTCACTTAATATCTGTCCATTTTATAGTATGTCAATTATACCTCAATCTAAAAAGAAAACAAACAAACTCTGAGCTTTTCAAGTTCAAGTCAATGCTCTTTCCAGAGGCTGGGGAACTGATGTGGTAAAATTAGGAGGTATGAGGAGAACCAAACGAAGGATGGAGGCGGTAAAGATGGTGAAACATAAGTAGTATTTAGAAGAATCAGCAGAACTTGGTAACTGCGAATTACAGTGGCCAGTCTAGAACCCAGGTGACATGGTGAATGGGTGGTGGAAGACAGGGAGGAAGGGAGAAGCAAATGAGCTGAGCTTTGGAATCTGCTGTGGTCACAGATACCATTGCCCAACTACTGATTGCTACAGGACATCTCACTCAGCAGTGCTTCTACAATCTACCCCACGCCCCACTGACTCACAGCGAGACTGCGATAGTTTTAAAAGGAGGAAATGACTCATGTGGCCCCACTTCTTGCACAAAAAAGCATTTGGAATTCCAGGACTCTGAGTAAAGATAAACAAGGAAGTTTCAGGCAAGGAGCATTTGCAATGAGGAGCTTGGAGGAGGAGCTTCAGTCACCCCACTGCTAAGCTGCCTGGGGATTGGGAATTCAGTTACCACTAATCCACTGTCTTGCTTCCCAGCCTTTGCTTAAGGACTCATCAGACACAAAATCTGCCACTGGGGAGACTGGAAACACTAGTTAACACCTTAAACCCATTGCCATCAAGTCAATTCTGACTTTAGTGACCCTACGGGGAAGAGCAGAACTGCCCCATAGTTTCCAAGGCTGTCATCTTTATGGAAGCAGACTGTCACATCTTTCCCCTGTGGAGTAGCTGGTGGATTCGAACTGCTGCCTTTCAGTTAACAGCTGAACACTTAACCACCCCATCACTGGGGCTCCTTTTAGTTAACACCTTAAGGCCCTTTAAAGAGGAATAAGAACAGTAAAACCCCTTTAGCCATCAAGTCCACCACCCAACAGTTCTTCAAACATTTGCAAGCCACAGGTGGCTGAAGACCTCACCAACCAGAAGACGCTGCCACCACCTATTTCTGTCAGAACAGGTGATCCAACAGTTGGCAGTCTGCAGGCAATGTTTAAAAAGTGGATTTCACTGCTACAGGCACCGCCAGATGGGAGTCAGCCAGGGAAAAAAGCCCCATGGCCTTGCTAGCGATGGCAATCAGCACATCACACCAGTGTCCCCACATCAGCCAAGACCTTCCTGAGCAAGGGGATGGAACTAGTCCTGTTCCAAACACCACAGACCAAAGAAACAGCACCTCTTCCTTGTCTTTCTTTCCCCAGTGTTGCAGAAGGTTTGGATTTTCCAAGTCAGTTCATTTGAATTTCAGCAAAAGCAAACTAGCATACCTTCTGCCCTCCTAGCTCTGGCATCCTGGAGATGCCTAAAATTACATAAGCACTGCATCCACCTCCAAAAAAAAATCTCTCAACTCTAGCCCTCAGATTTCTGGTGTCACGAGCAGTAAGTCAGGAACAAGGTTATCGAAACAGAAAAGGAGCATTCTCATTTCTGCTTTTTCGCCAGCATGCAAATGAGGTGGTGAATGCTTTCAATGTTTTCTTTGCTGTCAAACAGTTGTACAGGGAAATCAAGATTGTAGATAGAATCATTTCCCTGAATAAAGAAAATCCCCTGGGCGGGCCTAATGACTCAGCTTAAAGTGAATGAGAAGCCAATTGCCAATGCTTTGATGGGAAACAAACTGGGTAGTGCCAAGGAGTGATTTTTATGGCCAGGCCTTGTCACCCAATCCATTTGGGAGAGGCTGCCTGTCTCTTGGAGGACTGTCACTGTTCCCTGCTGGTTACTTCCACGGCCTCTTAGCAACTAACGGCCACTCACTTGACAGCCAGCAGAGTGTGAACACGATTAATGTGGAATGTGAAGGAGACTTCAAAAGCTTAAGGGTACGCCCATGGCAAAGCACAGAGCAACAAAAGCATTTGGAATTGCACCTTATCAAGGGAGGAACACAACCGAAATGAGCAGAAGCAGCCTGGAAAGACAGAATGACACATACCCCATTGCTGTCAAGTCGATTCGGACTCGTAGAGCCACTATAGGACAGAGTAGAACTGCCCCATAGGGTTTCCAAAGCTGTAAATGTTTACAGGAGCAGACTGCCACATCTTTCTCCTGAGGTATGACACATAATTCACCTGAAAGGTGTTTGGTCTCAATAAAGTTCTTCCCATCTTTTGCCAGTGGTCCCTGGAAGAAAATCCCACTGGTAGCATGTTTGCCCTATCAGGACATACTCAATACTTCACACAAGCTAACTGATTTGATCTAAGTGAAGGTGTGCAGTCCGTATTCCAACGACCCCGGTTTCCAAAGAGACAGGACAAGCAATTTCCCTGGGAATGCCTTGAAGACAGCTGAGGACCACGCTGGAGCAGCTAAGGCTGCCTACACCCGTACAAGCTAAACGATCATCATGCTAACACCACAGGAGAAAAGTAGCTGCCAGCTCTCAGAAGCCGGGGGGAAAACACTAGGAAGTGTAATTTCCTTCAGAACAGAAGTCACATGCATCAGCTCTTCTGCCACCCAGAAAGAGAGCAAACGAAAAGTGAGGACACTGCCTTGCTCAGGACTTCACTAGCACCATTTCCCAGGAAGGAGGTGATCTCGAGGGAAATACAGGTTAATCATGTACCTCTTGATCAGGTCATGTTTCATACAAGTGGGCGGCGGGCAAAAGTTGATGTATCACGGGTATAACAGATTCCAAGAGTTCAAAGCTCTCCACTCAAAGCCATCCCCCTGCCAATAAACAAAAAGGTTCTGGCAATCCTGTTCATCAGATAGCCACAAGCCTCTACAGGCTGAGCAGGCTTGAAGGAGGGAGAGGATCGTTTATCTATCGCCTACAGCTGGGCCAACTGCCTCTCAGCAGCTAATTTAAAACGTCCGGGGAGACAGCAGAAACTACGGATCATGCACCCACTAGCCTCTTACTCAAATCTACATCTAAAGCCCCCAAAACGAAGAAATGTCATGCGGGCGGCTCAACTGACCCCTATAGAGCCTCTGAACAGACACGCAACTCTGAGGGCCAGTCGCGGGGCTGCTGCCTCCCACCCAGCGCGGGGAAGATGCGGCCGAAGGTTTCCGGAAAGTGCACGTCTCCGCCCCGCCGTTCGCAACGGACCCATTAGGGGCGAGAGAGTTTGGGAAGCAACGTTTCGTGCCTAGGAAGGAACCGAGGCTGTGGAGATGGCCTGGGACCCGTCTGTGAACGTCTCCGGGGCGGGCGGAGCAAGGGCGGCCCCGAGGACACGGTCAGGGCGGAGGCCTGGCCACAGACCAGACGCTCGGCGGGCGCCTCGTCCATGTTCGAGGAGGCGGCTACAGGAGTCCAGGACGTGTCGCCTCCTTTGTGACAGGAACCTCGACGGATCCGAGGGCTCCCCGGCGTGCCTCTGCAAGAACCCGTGCGGCGCGAACTCCTCGCCGGGCCCCGCCCCGCCCCCACCCTCACCCTCAGCAACCGCCTCCCATTGGCCGAGGGGAGTGGCTCGAAGCTCGCCTGTTCCAACCGCAACCAATAGGAGCACCGGGGAGGCCGGCGGTAGGGTCGGAGGCGGTCACCCAGCGCAGAGGCGCGCGCGAGGCGCCGGGGGTAGTGACTGAGCCTCGGGAGGCACAAAGCGGACCCCGCCGTCGGTCGGCGCCAGAAAAGCTCGCGGGGACCTCCAGGTGGGGGAGCCGGGCCTCGGCGCGAGGGTCCCCGCGTCGCCCTCGTCCCTAGAATGGCCCCGAGAGCGGGTCCCTCCCTTTCAGGGCTGAAGTTCCCCGTACTCTGCTTAGAGGAAAAAGAAGAGTCCCTCACCCGGCGGAGACCCCGTATCCTCTGAGCCCTCCAAGCCCCCTAAACCTCACGCCCCCCAGGGTGCTCCCTCCAGCCGTTTGGGAAGGACCTCGGGCCATTTTCCCTAAGTCTCCCAAGTCTGGAGTGATTTTTCGCCACCCACACAAACACACATACACAAATTGGAGGGGTCGAGCGGACTTTACCACTGGCTCCCCGAGGTCGGGGGCTTACGGATCCGCGCGGGCGCCCGGAGCCAGCCTTACCTGCAGCTCCCGCAGCAGCGAAGAGCAGGGCGATGGCGCAGCACAGCCCCCAGCCTGCCGACCCCATGCTCACAGCCTCAGCTTGGAACGCCCGGCCCGGCCCGCGGTCCGCTGTATCAGAGATGGAGACTCCGGCTTCGCGCGACCCGGCGGCGACTACACGCGGGGCCCGAGTCTTTGGCAGCATTTCAATGTGAGGTTTCGTGCAGGGGGAGGAGTTTGTAGTGGGGTGATTTTCAAATATCTTCACCTCACTGCCGGAGGAGGAGTTTCGAACGCCCGATGTGACATCGGCTCTTTAACCCTTGGAGCCCTGACTCAGAATCCAGTCCTTCCAAAGGCACGCCAGGGCAGGCTGCTGGGTTGGTTGTATTTTGATCACACGGTGAGGAGCTCGCTCCCTAAATTGGAAATCCGCCTCTTGAAAGATCCCTCTGAGGCTTCTCTCCACTTTTAAGTGAGGCCGTTGCTTTTTGGTGCTCAACGGAGGTTGTTAAAAACCGCTCTTCAAAAATATTCTAACAACAATTTCTCCTCTACCTCGAAAGGAAAAACTTTGAGGTTTTGTTGGAAGCTTATTTTGCCCTCCTTTCTATACCCGGCCTTTCCCCTTCCAGGAATTGTAGAGATTTTTAATTTATTTTGATCGTATATAGTTTTTAGATGGTTATTCCAAATCGCCTTATAAAGAGTAATCAATGAGAAATTTAAATGAACTCTTCACAAAAGTATAGCCAAAAATTCATTTTGTTTTGTGGATGAATTATGAGCAAAAACATCTTTAAAATCAATTGACCCAGAACGTAGGGTCTGGACGTAAATATTGATATATCGTTTTAGGACAAGGACTTGGACAAAGAAAGGCGGTTTCCTCTCCCCCCACAGCAAAATCAAAACAAACCAAGCTTTTCACAGTGGAACCTAATTGTCTAAACCACCGAGGGCTGGTAGAAAGCAACTTTTAAGAATCACGGAATCTCTTTGCGATTCATGCTGTTGCCAGAGGCCCTTTGCCAAAGAGGCACGTGTAGGAAACTTGCCTGCACCCCACAAAAGGCCTGGCAGTCGTGGAGGGTTCCCCTGGGAATGAGCTAGAAGTTCTCTTGGGTTTTACAAACTGAACTTGGCAGGGAGTGCTAACCTCTCAGCAGGGTTGTGGTGAAACCCAGGAGAAAAAGCAGAAAAGAGGCTGAAAAGAGGTCAATTGACCCCTCAGAAAGAAAAACAGTGATGAATCCACAGGACGGAATTTATAAGCAGAGTGTTTTGCACTTAAAAGCCTGAGCTTCAGAATCAGACAGATCCTGGGTCGATAAATTTGCTTTTCCCAACCTGTAAATAGGAGAAAATAATGCCTACTTCTCTTGGTAGGTTCAGTGTCACGGTCAGATGAGATCATTAGCAATCACCCGGGGACATTTACAGGGCTAGACAAGTTCTGGGAGTTGTAACATTTATGAATGGATCACCATTAAATTCCATATGTACATTTTTTTAAATCCCCTCAGAAAAATTACAAGACAAAGAACTCAGTTTCTGTTATGAGCCCAGCTTTCCCTTTTCTCCACCTTGTGGTAAACCTTTCACCTCAACAGACCTGGAAAGAGTTACCGGGAAGCAGGGCTTTGAACCAGTTCAAAGCTTTGCTGCAAATTTGCATTTCTAACAAGTTCCCAGGTAATGCTAATGCTGCTGGTTAGGAACCAATTCTGAGAACTTATAGCAGAGCAGTGGTTCTCAAAAATTTATCATACATAAGAATCACCGGGGTATCTTGTTTAAATGTAGATCCCGATTCAGTATATCTGGGATGGAATGCACATTCTCAGCAGGGGTTTGAACCGAAATGAACCGGTTCAAAGCCCTGGATAAATTCCAGAGTTTCTCTGTAGAAGGTAGGGCAGGCCTGGAAGAGAACTGTCAAAGCTCCAAAAAGCACATTCCTGGGATGCCAAGGCTTGGGCAGGGTTTCCAGGACAGCTTTACACACACACACACACACACACACACACACACACACACACGCCTCTCTCTCTCACACACACACACACACACACACACACACACGCACACACACCTGCCTCTGGCCTGTCTGAGAAAATCTCAAGTTCCCTACTCTGTCAGCCAGCCATACATGACCATATACTGCCCTGAGGGCTGGGCCATACTGCTTAATTTCTCTATTTCCTTCTTGGAGCCTCTGTTTGCTCTTCTGAAAAAGAAATTCTCGCCTCCACCTGGGTTTGATTCCCAGCCAATGCACCTCATGCACAGCTACCAGCTGTCTGTCATGGGAGGCTTGTGTGTTGCTATCATGCTGCAGAGGTTTCAGTGGAGCTTCCAGAGACTAGGAAGAAAGGCCTGATGACCTACTTCCAAAAATCAGTCAATGAAAATCCTGTGGATCACAATTGTTCTAGCTGCAACCAATCATGGAAATCGTGCAGGTTTCGTTGCATCATGCAGCTAACAACAATCACAGGGTTGTTAGGAGGATTAAATAAATTAGTATATATAAGGTGATTGGAGCCATGCGTGGCACATGATAAACACCATATATCAGCTCTCTATTTTGGGTGTTTTTTTTTCTTTTTCTTTCTGCCTGTATTTCAACTGTATCTTTTTTTTTTAATGTCTTTAGGGAAGACTGGTCCTTGCCTTCTTCCTAGCAGGCAGTTGGTAAGTAATCCTTCCTTGGAATCCACTTCATTTCAAGGTTCCTGGACTTGGGAAGTCATCTAATCCATCCCAGGGTACGCACTTTTCCTCATTCTAATAGGCAGCCCAACTGTCCCGGTTCTCACAGCCCTGATTAACCAAGGGTGGGGATGCTCAGACCATTATGGGTCCCTGCCCAAGGAGCCAGGCTACTTGGCAGAGATCTGAGTGTCTTGGCAACTGCAGTCTGGCCTTTGGTTTGCAGTCAGCAGAGAGGACGAGTAGCTGTAGAGGCCTTGGTGCCTTCCAGTAGGTTCGACTAGGGACCTGCCTCTCCTGTCACCATCAATGGACACAAAATGCATGTAAGCCCCATGAGGGCAGAGACCATGGCTTGTATCTCCAGGGTTGAATGAATAAGTGAAAAGCAAAGAGATTCTTGTTGGTGGCTATAACATCAGAGATGCCGTGCTTCTGAATCCTGCTTTCAATGGGATTTTGATAATTGCTATATAGCTGCCATGGAGTCAGCTCCGACTCATGGCAACCCCATACACAACAGAATGGAACGTTGCCCAGTCTTGCGCCATGTTCATCATCATTGATACGCTCGAGTCCATTGTTGCGGCCACTGTGTATTTTGAGTGACTCTAACCTAGGGGGCTCGTCTTTCAGCACTATATTGGACAATATTCTGTTGTGATTCATAGGTTTTCCCTGGCTAATTTTTGGAAAGTGGTCACTAAGCCTTTCTTCCTAGTCTGTCTGAGTCTGGAAGCTCTGCTGAAACCTGTCCACCATGGGTCAACCTGATGGTATTTGAAACATGGTGGCAGAGCTTTCCAGCATCGTAGCAACACATAAACCACCACAGTACAACAAACTGGCAGACAGGTGGTAGTTGGATAATTCCGAACTAAAAACCCATTGCCATTGAATCGATTCCAACTCATAGCGACCCTATAGAACAGGGTAGAACTACCCCATAGGGCTTCCAAGGCTGGAATCTTTGCAGAAGCAGACTGCCACATTTTTCTCCTGTCGAGCGGCAGGTGGGTTTGAACCGCCCACCTTTCAGTTAGCAGCCAAGCGTTTTATCATAGCGCCACCAGGGCTCCTCAGTTTGATAATTAGGAGCTCACATTTTGCCCTACACCAGCAGTCCTTCCTTTTAAACTGCATGCCAGACTCGAACGCAAACCTGAACTGAGAAGTGGAGAGAGCCCTGAGTTGGTGGTCGAGGAGATTCACAATTGACCAAGAAGACCTCTCGCCTCTGCCTCAAGGAGCTGAGACTGCAGGAGAGAGAAGGGGGAGGCTGTGTCTACAAGCAGGACCTTTGCCTGTCAGGGATGCAGAGGCTACGTCTCAGATGAGCACGAGACTACTAGAGGAGAACCCATAAAAAAATAACTAAACCCCTTGCCGTCGAGTCAAGTCCAACTCATAGGACAGAGTAGAACCGCCCCACAGAGCTTCCAAGGAGTTGACTCGAACTGCCAACATTTCAGTTAGTAGCCAAGTGCATCAACCGTTGGCACACACACAACCCTCCCCCCACCCCCCCGGGACTCAAACTGCCAACATTCTGGTCAGCAGCCATAGCTCTTAACCACCATACCACCAGGGCTCACTAGAAGAGAATACTTTATTTTAAACAGGCACTACATTCACATGTTTCCAGAGTAAAAAGGCCCAAAATGTGGACAGAAAGAAAAGCTTTCCTTCCACCCTAGCCACCCAGTTCCCCTCTCCTCTAACAATAAGGATTGCTAGTTTCCAGTATATCCTTCTAGAAACATTCTAGGCATATACCAAAAACAAAAACAAAAAAACCCCAAGACCATTGCTGTTGATCCCAACTCATAGCGACCCTATAGGACAGAGTAGAACTGCCCCATAGGGTTTCCTAGGCTGGAATCTTTACAGAAGCACACTGCCACATCTTTGTCCCAAGGAGCAGCAGGTGGGTTCGAACTGCTGACCCTTCGGTTAACAGCCGAGCACTTAACCACTATGCCACCAGGGCTCCTTATACAAGGAAACATGACATATTCCCCTCCTTACCCCTCCCCCCACATGAAGCAGAGCACCCCCTTCCCTTGACAATGTAATCTGAGGATTGTTCTAGATCAGGAAAATGTGGTTTTCAAATCAGCCTGTGGGTGGACAGGATTTCATCAGGCAGGAGTGGTGCTAGGGTGGAGCAGGAGAGGAGAGACACTGGCTGAAGGGCGGGCACGTTCGTGGAATTGTGGGAGGTGAAAATAAAATTGGGACTGGACATCCAAAGACTCAGAGTGTCGCTCAAACGCAGGGAACTATTTTCGGGGCAGTGAGAAACCTTCGAAGCCTTGGCGGCTGGGAGTGGCAGGATCAAATGTATAATTTGGGCAGATAACACCTCACTTCTGTCAGGGACAGGCGGAGAGTGGGAATAGGAGAGTGACAAGAGGCCTGGGCAAGAGTTGAGG